CGTTCGGTCGCATAGATCGCATTTGATCAAAAGAACCTCAACATGCTTAAGCCGGTTACGTGGAATAAAACCAATTTTTTTAATGTTGTCTAAGACAATGAATGAAACATGGAATTTTTTATTCCATTTAAGAGGCAAATCCGTAATTGGCAGAGTCAACTGTCCGAAGTGAGCAAAAAGAGGCAAAACTCGACTCGGGAAGACTATGACGCCCGTATTTTGGGATGCGCATGCGTATAATTTACAATCAATTAATTGTGAATATAGAGTTGCGTTATAAGTGCGTTTAAATGATGAAGCCTGGGACTTATTGAGTGATATAATTTTATGATCACATTACGGATGTTACAAAAAAAAAAAAAACACGAAAATCTTAATATTTGAGTACGAATTTATTTTGTTGTTGTTGCGATTAAATCCAGTTGCGATTCAATCCAGTTGCCTTCTTAATACTGTTAACATAAATAATATTGTTAACATAAAATAGGCTGCTGTTGATATGCTATTAAAATCTATTAATTCTGTATTAACCTACTTTTCCACTTTACCTACACATACCATGTAAGTGCATAAATTTGTTTGCAAAGTGTTTCAATGTAGTCATCTTCAAATGTTTAGAAAAATTGCTTTTCATATACATAGAGTATTTTTGATAAATTTTTGAAAACTTATTTATATATATTTTTTGAGATAACTGAACTTTTTTCCATTACATAAATAGTGGTTTTGAGCAGCTTTTACTGAGTTTAAAAAAAAAAAAAAAACAAAATGAAAAAAACAACAAAAAATATAGTAAACCGGCAGAAAATTCCACCACATGGTCTGTAACGCTTTAGCTGTTCAATTCAACTTAATTTTTATTTTTATTTTTTTTTTTTTTCTTTATTAAATATCTGACGACATTTATTAAATAAAACTATTTATCATTAGTTGATTTTTTTTTTTTTTTCATTTTGCGACTTGTATTTCCTTTTTAACAAGATTTTTTACTTGCATTTCGCTTTTCTTCTTATATTTATATATATATTTTGATCTTTATGTTTTCTTATTACACTTAAATGTTGCGTCTGTTATACAAACCGGACGTTATGAAATTAAAATTTTCCAGTTCCAATAATCAAGTCTGCTTTTCATAGGCAAACTCGACTCCCCGTACTGATGTAGACTTTCTGTAAAACGTTATAGGAAAAGAGCAACAAAAAAAAAAAAAAAAAAAAAAAAAAAAAAAAAACAGGAACCTCTTACAATCTCTTTTTAAGTTTACACTATTTAAATTAATCTTGGTGAATATATGCCGCAAATGCCTAACGAACACCTTCGGAATTGCTACTTTAATTCAATCAATAGTAGGACCTTTCACGGTCCCGTTCCACGGGAACGTATAGAAATAATTACAGCAAGAGTTGGATATCAAACAATTGAGAATTTTAATTAAATTAGGCATAGTTATCAGACCGCATTAGCCGACGACAAAAATAGAGTTTTAAATACATAGATGCCCTATTCACCAATAAGCCTCCACGCGCTCCAATTGAAAATGAAAGCAATATTAATTTTCTATTTCTGACAGCATTATTGAATAATTGCTCAGAATTTCGCAATTAATTAAACATTTCCCCAATGCGATAAGAATTTTGAAATTTGCATCAATTTAATATCACAAAAAACAATAATAAAATAGATGCAGATATCAAAGTCGATATTTCTTAAAACCAGCGCATGGACAGTTTTATACCATATTATAGACTGTAACAGAAGACTAAAAAATTGCTTGAAACTTAATATAAAAATTTTAATAAAAATTACATTATATAAGCATCGGCTTTGCGGCATACAATTAATATTGATCTTTCCCTTAAAGCGTAAGGTTACAAATTGGAAGGAGAGAAATTATTGGACAGCATAGTGTCAAGTAAAATATAAAAGGCAGCTGAACCGAGTCATTCGATAATTTTTTTCATGCTTGAAAAATATTTCGCGGCATGTAAGCTTGTATTTTAAGCATTATCTGTAGATATTGCGGAATATTTTGGATTAATGAAAAATTAGTGGGGAATTTTTAAAAAGTTCCCCGGTAAACATTTGTCTCTAATTTCGGATCATTTGCATAAGTATTATCTTCGCTTACTGCAGGCGGATCACGTTCATTTCATAACATCATCCCTAGACATTAACTAAACACATAAACTTTCTGATCAAGAATAAATATATATATATTAATAGGCGTGATGAAAAGGGGACCTAATCCCCATCCTTACGTTGGGGAAGCGAAAGTTTAGCGGAAACCCTAACTGCCGATACATGTTTGTTTATACACTTATACGTATACAGGTTTATACGTTTATGCTTGAATATGAACATTTCCCGAACATATTTGATCCAATGATTCAACGCAATTTAAACTAAGCCAGACTAAAAAATCATTTAGTTTGTCAACATTTCAATATATGACAACCTGTTTTTCGATGTCACAGAAACTCTGTAAACTCTATTTGAGAAATCTCTTCATAAATTGTTTATTTATTCTCTTGCAAAAAAAAAAAAAAAAATAAATAAATAAATAAATAAAAGTCGATTACATGATACTTTTCATCATGTAATATGGTCATGAATGAAACTTTATTCGGTTATTTATATACGGCAACAGTAATAGCAATAACAACTTTATTAAAAAAATCATTTTATGGAAGAAATCAGTAATTTTCTGAAGGCTAACCAGCTGGCCAACCAGTTGTCTTTTTCGTTTTTGAGGGTTTTAAAGCCAATGTTAAGGTTGCTTGCCGCACTGAAAAAGGCGTAAATGATTTTCATTTAATAAATACGATCAAGCATCGTATGAAAAGTAAACTATTCACATCACATATTCACATCATTTTTAAAATTTGCAAAAAGTATTTATATTTGAATCAAAAAAAAAATAAAAAATAAAAAATAAAAAATAAAAAGTAAAAAAAAATAAATAAAGAAATAAATGTAACGAATTATTTTCAATTCCCTTACATTAAATTTACGTTTTCTTTTCTTTATATCGACCCGAAATCAATTTGGCTGAAAAACTATTTTCAACAACTACGCCCAATTAAACTTTCACACTACGTTCGCCAATTTCAAATAATTTCATTTCAACGCAGTGCCAAAGAGATATAAAAAATCATAAATTGTATGATGCAAAACTTAAATGAACACGGATATCGTTTTTGAATAATTCAATGCTTCAGTCATAAGAGGAGATGTTCACAATCGTATTTATATAATAAATATGGAAATAAAATTTTTAAAAATTTTTATGAGCCGCAAGAATCGCTTACTTTAACTTTAACTCAATATTTATGTAAAATCTTATGTAAAGTCCAAGTGAAAAGTACTGAATGCATAGTTAGTTCAACTTTAGCATTTTTACATTCTTCAAAAATGTTCACGCCTCGTCCGGGCCAATCATCTAAGTCTAGCACACGTCTGTTCTAATATGCAACACACGCCTCTACGATACAGTTTTGACTTCACTCCTGCAGCTGCGTAGGGCATCTTATTGTGAAACACCGTCATCTCGACCGTAACCGCAAATCTGATGATTCATAAACACAAATCAATTTGAAAATAGCACTGCTCCGCGAAAAGCAAAACCTTCGGTTATCATGTTGCCGTCCAATTTCTTCAACACAGAATAAGTTTATGCCAAACTGTCGATGATGTGAACTTTTTCCCTCACTTTCTCTTACTGAATAAGATTTGAATTGGATAAGCAATTGTTGCATACGAGACATTAAACATTAATGATATTTCATTACAAGATTCCTATGACGGCAGTGAGAAACTGTCTTAATAGTTAGACGTAACGTTAACAAATAATATATGAGAAAACATTATCGCCGCATGTTCAAAACACAAAACACAAGGCGCAGTCTTTCAACTAAAATTAACATAACGATAAGCCAGGGAGGCAGAGAGGCTTTTGAATTTCCGACGTCTTTCAACGCGTGAACGGATCGTTAAAATGCCTTGCCTTCATTTCGATTTCATTTAACATGACGACACTTAAAGGTACGAATTGAGAGCGGTTTTAATACCCATTCGACTGCACCCAGTTCAAGATGAAATGTGTGCGCTTTCCTTATATGCAAAAATGTTATCGATCAGCTGGAAGATGATTTTCAAAAACAGTAAAGGAATTTTCGTAAGCCATCCCTGAATTAAAAAACTTGTCAAATCTTACCATTAAATAGCCAACAAAAGTAATTGTTAAAAAAGTAAGAAAATAAAATTTGGTCGCGACCGAATCTTTTTTATCC